GGTGGGAGGGTCCTTGGGAGGTGGATGACTCTAGAGGCAGAGTGACCAGTTAAACATCTGTGTTCAAGATGACACTGATCAGTAGTGGCCAAGATGAAGGGGAAAGAATAGTTTTGGAGGTAAAAATTGATTGGATTATTGAACATAAAGGGGAAACAGAAATCCAAGTTACTTAGAAGTTTTAGTTTGTACAATTGGTGATGCTGTCCAGGATGATGGGATTAGTGGTGGATGCATTGACATTGAGTTGTAGTCTCTTGGGGGAAAAATTGCAAAACTTTCTTTAGAAAATAGACCCTAATTTGGGGATATGCATTTCAGACTATCATATCACTTTCATTTTTAGAGCTAACGTAACTCTCGCATTATTATTTGGTAATGCTTCTTTATTACTCTTTCGTGAAGGTTTATTCCCATGGTTCCTCAAGGCACTGAAAGGCTTAGAGCATGGATAACTCCACAGGAAGGAAAAGGATTGTGTCACCCCATAGCATATTCTACCCCTCCCACATGGGCCCACAGGTGTGAGTATCCAGGCAGGGAAAGTAGAATGTGTCACAGTGATAGTTAACATTCCTGAGAGTTCATGAACCCTTCTAAAATCATCTGCCACAAATATTTTTACATAGGATTCTAGACTGTTTCTCAGCCTCCTGAAGCATATTCATGAACATATGAATATATTACCAAGCTAGGAATGCCAATATGAAGCAAATACCCTGGATGGACAGCCCAATGTGCTAGCTTGCCAGTGATTTCCATGCAGCTTTAGGAAGGTTGCTTGACTCCTCTGGGTTTTCCACATTCTTGGCACAGTGCTAAGATTCTGCGACTCTTTGATTAATGGCATTGATTCACAAAGCAAACCAGTTCATATGGGCACCTAGAAAGTAATTCTGAATTAAATTGGGCCTTGCTTGTGTTCCCAGCACTCTAATTAAGAAGAAATTATAACAAGAATAGAAATCTTTGTTCAAACCTTCTCATTGTTCCATTTTTCTGTGCTTCATTGGTTCTGTGATAGGATAGATGGGCACATGAGACAGACCCAGACTTATATCTTCTCACGAACGTTTCCAAGAACTTACTTTGACATGTCCTTATTAGTGATGTTAGAGCGGACTGTTCTTAGAGGATTGTGGAGCAGGAAGACCTTTTTCAGGTTCTATAATTTTTCCAGACATGTGAATGTGCAACTTTTGCATAGTCCAGCCATGCTATCCCAACCCATGCAAATAGACTTTTCAAACTAGAAACTATACTAAAATAACAATCAAAACTTTGTGCTGAATCCACATATCTCCCCCTTACCGTCGCAAAATATAAAGTAACTAGATACACATATAGATAATATATAAATCAGCATCACACCAGCTGGCTTTTCCCACCAAAATTGGTTTACATAAAACTATAGATACAAATATTTGGACACTGTGTATCTTTTCAACTTACATCTGTCAATTTAATTTATATAAATCTGTCAATTTATATTTAATTGACAGATGTCAGTTGGAAAGATACGCAGTGTTAATGACACATGATGTATTTATATCTAAATACTTGAACTAATCTTTGAAACAAAGCGTGATGTCTATTTGATTATATTCTAGCTGGTCGGTAGAAATTCTTTTTAATTTGCTTGTTATCCTAAGTCTATTTGGTTATGTTCTAGCTGGTCAGTAGAAATTCTTTTTAATTTGCTTGTTATCCTAAACATTGTTTTGCTCATGGAATCCTCCTCAAAACATTCTATTACTCTTGGTTGCTTTCAGGATAAGATCCAAGCCCTGTAGTTTGTAGTGCAAGGCAGCAATCCTAGTTCTTCAACTTCACCATCTGCTCTTCACCTATGTGGGCCTTCTGACCACACAACCAAATGGACCTCCCCATACACATGTGAGTTCGGCTGTGCCTTTGCTTTTGGGGAGCTCACCGCCTGGGATGTCCTTTGAGCTACATCCCCAACCAGCTTCATTTATCTCATTTACTCAGTGGGATTTTATAAGTTTCTCACCTGCAATGATAAAGCTTTGTTTGCCTCCAAGGCAAATGGACTAAATGTGTTGCTTATGAAAACATCCAGAAGAACCTAGAAGTAAGGGGGACCTGTTTTTATCAGATCTTAGCCAAAGAAACAGGTCCAGTATCACAGATCATAGCAGAAAAGGAAGGAAAGCCCACACATCAGTAATGTTTTATAAAATTACTTATCTCTATCAATATAAAACATTTACCCAGAATATATGTACATTCACTCACTTACAAATTATATATATATATATATATATATATATATATATATATATATATATGCTACTGTAAGAGTGCACTAGACTCACTGTAAAAATATATAAAATATTGGCATTTAAGATGATTAGATAAAAGTTCAACAGAAATGTTGCTTATTATTTTTCATTCTAATTCCAGCATTCTCACACTGCATGGATTATGCTGAGTGCCCCATTTTTAATACCATGATCCCTATCGCCACATCAGATGCCTCTACTAAGGCAATAATAGCAATCACTGACAATCCTGGGACACTTTACTATTCTGAGTCAAATTATCGTGATTCCTTTAGAATAATTATGGGCTATGAGTCTAAGAAATATTAACCAGAGTTGTTCTGTTGCCTGACTTCAGCAGGACAACATTTACATTTTCTGTGAATGGTGCCCCCTAAATTTGTTCAGTGCACAACCTATACATCCCTCCGTGAGGGGTCTATAAGTGTTCTATTAGAGACAGGCTCTGAAGCTGCAGATGTTTTCCAAGGGACAGGCTTCACGTGAGCTAAGTGTGGACAAGACTGTTGGTCTCATGTCTACTTTTCCAACCACAGCCAAATCTAGAGACCATACTCAGTGTTGAGAAGTATCCTAGCGTGGATAATAGGTGATGCCACACACACATGTACACACTGATCATGAGCTGGGGCCATATACCTTGGAATCTAAGGCTATAAGAGCAAGGAAAGATTACCTTTCAAGGATGAAGAAACTTGGGTCCAGGGACATTTTATACAAAAGTATTGACAAAGTTGTGTTTGAATTCCCTGACCACTGCTCTTTCCACAATATTACATTGCTCGTGTTAGAATGCTTCTTTTTCCTACTTCCGTTTTTGCTCAATATCAGCCATGTGCTAATTTCCAATGAGATAAACACTTAGCCAAATTTAGAAATAATGTCGAGATGGATCCATGACGGTGATGACAATGATGACAATCATGGTGACGACCCACTTTACCTGTTGCAGGTTGCATGGATGCCTCTGTCATGAGAAAAAAAATACATCTAGTCCTCAATTAAAAAACCTCTGTGGCCAGGAGCCATGGGTCACGTCTATAATCCCAGCAATTTGGGAGGTCAAGGCGGGCAGGTCACTTGAGGTCAGGAGTTCAAGACCAGCCTGGCCAATATGGTGAAACCCCATCTCTACTATAATTACAACAATTTGCTAGACATGGTAGTACATGCCAGCTACTCAGGAGTCTGAGGCAGGAGAATCATTTGAACCTGGGAGGTGGAGGTTGCAGTGAGCTGAGATCCCTCCACTGTGCTCCGGCCTGAGTGACAGAGCAAGACTCCATCTCAAAAAAAAAAAAAAAAAAAAAAAAAAAAAAAAAAAAGTTTGTTTGCACAGTTTGACAATGGTGATGTGGATTGGAGGCCAGAAAGCTGCTTGAGTGTACCTGTTCTAACATCACCCCCTCCATGGAGCTGCTCCAAACTCAGTACACACCTGGGCACTCCTTCTCTGAACACCCACAGCACTCCACTCGCTCTTCTGTTTCATCTCTGACTGTATTGTATTACAATGCATTGAGTGTAGGTCTGTCTCTGGCACCATATTATTTGTTACTTGAGAGCAAGGGCCTTATCTTGCACAGCTCTTTCCCCTCAAATGCTCAGCAGAGTGCCAGGCCATGTGTGTCTGGTACGTATGTGTGAATCCAGCACTATACTAGTTCCTTTTTAAAATCCCCTAGTATTTTGGTCCTTTTAAAAATCACGTGGAATAGTACTTGGTTCACATGTACATAGGATAAGTAATCCATGATTAAACACAAAACAACTAGAGAAAAGAGCAAAGTAGAAGACAATAAAGGACAAAATCAGTAAAGTGTATTTTATCAGCAATGTTACTGGGAACCAAAGAAGAGAGAAATAAGTACGAACTATGGTTTTCTTTTAGGTTTATAATCATTTTATTAGCAAGAAAGAGCAGCATTTACTAATATAATTATACTAATAAATGCAAAGACAGTTAAAAAATTATATAAATATGAATATTGTCAGAAAGATGTTGGGGAAAAAGGGCCTGCCATCTTCATTAATAAAGATGATTTGTTTAGGTCAGAAACACTTTACATTTTGATAATATTTATAACCATAACTATTACTTTATCAATCTAATGCAAAGATCACCATGGTTCTGTTTAGACAGCACAGGCATTAAACATTAACATGGCAGTTAGTGTCTCACTACTATTGAAATCATTTGACTTCATCAGATTTTAGTTATATTGGTGCCAAAGGGGCAAGCTAGTGACAGAGATAATCTTTATTGACCATCTATCAGGCAAATCTGTGACCTTAGAAACACAAGAAGGACTTTCTTCCACAAACTCCGGTTTCAGTTTTAAACATGTTGACAAAGGAAATTTAACCAGATGGAACAATGTGCTTAATGTCAGTCACAACGGCAAGGATTTGGGCAGCAATTTCGGCTCACTCATGTGAACTCTTTAAAAAGTGCTTTGCCCATGGCATGTAAAAGTCAGTGATTAAACACATACTTTCAATGCACCTTCCAATTCCTCTAATTTTGAGAAGAGCTGAGTACACTCTGTAATGACTTAGTCACTCTGACTCTTGAATATGTATTGAGATCCAAGGACCATGAAATTATGCATCCTCCCCTGGTCAGACAGCAAAATTAAACACCAGTCACAACATCTGCATGTACAAGGTGTGCCTGTCAGAGGCAGCCCTTACCTTCACAAAGAGGCAAATCTCAGGGTCCATGCGAGCTGCTTTATTTTCTTCCAAACCGTCAGCATCAGAATAGGAGGTGGCGGTATACTTCCTGGTAGAGAAGGCATTACTATGCTGAATGGTGAAGCTTGAAGGAGAAGGCAGGTCTTCCTTCATCACACTCCCATTCTCCCGGAGCGTCTCTGGGCAGGGCTGCTGGTCCTGGGTTGGTGAATATAATTCTTCCATTGAGATGCCCCTGTCCTCCTGGGGCTCACCCAGCTGACCCTCCTGAACCTCAGAGTATGTCTCATCAGGCAGGAGATAGCCTCTGTCTTCTGACTGGGCAGAGGCCAGGCTGCTCTCTTCACCCTTCATGGTACAGACTGACACAAAATCATACTCATGAGTATTCAACTGAGTGGCATAGAAATCATTTTCTGGCCTTAAGTATTCATGGACATCATCATAATGAGGACCTTCATTTTCTTCTGGCTGGTCTGGAACCTCATACGTCCTCTCATTTTGGATTGTGTCATAGAGGGTGCTGTAGTCTTCATCATTCATGCTTATTGATCTGAGAGATCCTTTTGCAGGCAGACCTGAGTAGATCTGAAATGAGTGAAGGGACGGAGGATGCTGCACCACCTTGCAGAGGAATCAACAGGCTTTTGATAGGCAGTAAGTAGCAACTGCTATCAATGACAGGTCTCTAACAATCATTTACTGGAGACTTTAATAAGCAAACCACAAGTCCATTGCGTGGAAGATAAAGCTTACACACTCAGTTAACTCCTTCACTCCTAAAGATATTTGTATTAGACCCTGGAAATTTCCTCATTGCCAGTGACCACGATTCTTTGGGTAAACCAGAGGTTGAATTGAATTATCATCCCGGTATACACTGAAATTTTGAATATGTAGCCATTTGTCATCAATAGAGCTCCCTCCTCCAACTGCCTCCAAATATTGACAACATTCAAGAACCCCTGTAATTCAGTGGAGAGCTACAATTCTTCACAATGGTCTCTCATCTATTTATAGCTGGATCCACAATTCTTTGTCTATTGATACCCAATGATAAACGAATTACATTCCCTGGTTAGGTAATGAATTCCATTTACATTTCTTATCTGGAAACGCCACTGGGTGATTAAATGGCAGAAGGAAAGAAAGATAAATGTTCTGACCTAAAGACATGTCAGTATAAACCACCAAAAATTAGGGACTCAAAGACTTATGGCTTTAATTTTTATTTTTCCCTCTTAAATCTGCATGATCATTGCCATCAACAAACATTCACTAAAATTCTATCATAGACAGGTTGCTGAACTGAACACAACAAAAGCATTAGAAGATACATTGTCTGTCTTGAAAGAGGCTTTTAAATGTGGTTGCAGGGCCCAGAAGAGAAACTATTTAAGGTTTTTATTAGTGCAATGAGCCCAGGTCTAGATAAGCAATAAAAAATTGTATGCACAAGGTGGTTCAGTTGATGCCATCCACAGATGCTATGAATATGTGAATATGTGTGCCCCCGTTTTATTTTTTTAAAAAAATCACGTACTCTATCCTGCTAATTCCTGCTTCCCTTTACCACACCAGGTATGTCTTTCTCTTCGAAGTGACAACCCCAGCTAAGTTGTAAAGGAACTTTAATGTGTAGAAATCATGTGAAAACTATGAAATAATGCAGCTCCAGTTGATGGACTTCAGAACATTTGAGGGGCATCTTCTTGGTGAAACGTCATTGTACTCTTAGATTTCAATATTGTATCTGGAATCTTCTACTATGAATTAGAGCAGCATTTCTAGAATTCTAGCTTAAAGATTGGGTAAGAAAAAAGAGGTCAGAGACTTCAAAGGCTATTGACATTGGCCATTTATCTTATTGAAAAGTGATGTTTAATGGGTCCAAATACATTATACATTATGATAGGTTCCATAATTAGGTGTTTGTAACTGAATGGATTCCAGTTCAAATCTTCTTCCTAGTTTTAGAGCTGGTGAAAACCTCAGAGATTATTTAGTCTAATATTTTATTTTACATTTGAAAAAAATTTAAACCTAGATAGTGGAAGTGAATGGTCCAAAAAGTTACACATTTACACAAAAAGTTAATTGCAGAGCTGACTTTAGCTGTGGTTTTTGAACCCCCAGCTAGTGATCTTTCTGCTACTAACTCTCCTCCATAACTCAGTATTTTCCTTTTTTTTTTTTTTAATTGTACTTTGGGCTCTGGGGTACATCTACACATCCTGCATCCTGCAGGATTGTTGCATAGGTACATACATGCCATGGTGGTTTGCTGTCTCCATCCTGCCACCCCACCATCTCCTACATCAAGCATTTCTCCTGATATTATCCCTTCCCTTACTCCCCGCCCCCTGCTGTCCCTCCCCTCCCCTCCCCTCCACTCTCCTGCCACCTAGCGCAGTGAGTGTCGTTCTCTTCCCTGTGTCCATGTGTTCTCATTGTTCATCACCCGCCTATGAGTGAAAACATGCGGTGCTTGATTTTCTGTTCTTGTGTCAGTTTGCTGAGAATGATGGTTTCTAGATTCATCCATCTCTCTACAAAGGACATGAACTCATTTTTTTTTATGGCTGCATAGTATTCCATGGTGTATATGTGCCACATTTTCTTTGTCCAGTGTGTCATTGGTGGGCATTTGGGTTGGTTCCGGTTCTTTGCTATCAAACAGTGCTGCAGCAAACATACATGTGCATGTATCTTTATAACAGAATGATTTATAATCCTTTGGGTATATATCCAGTAACGGGATTACTGGGTCAAATGGAATTTCTATTTCTAGATCCTTGAGGAATCGCCACACCATATTCCACAATGGTTGAACTAATTTACACTCCCACCAACAGTGTAAAAGTGTTTCTATTTCTCCACATCCTCTCTAGCATCTGTTGTCTCCAAATTTTTTAATGATCGCCATTCTAACTGGCATGAGATGGTAACTCAATGTGGTTTTTTTTTTTTTTAATGTCTTCATGGTTTTGATTTGCATTTGTCTAATGACCAGTGATGATGAGCATTTTTTCATATGTTTGCTGGCTGCATATAAGTTGAAAAGTTTCTGTTCATATCCCTCACCCACTTTTGAATGGATGTGTTTGTTTTTTTCCTGTCAATCTGCTTTTGTTCTTTGTAGATTCTGGCTATTAGCCCTTTGTCAGATGGGTAGATTGCAAAAATGTTTTCCCATTCTGTTGGTTGCCAGTTCACTCTAATGATATTTTCTTTTGCTGTACAGAAGCTCTAAAGTTTAATTAGATCACATTTGTCTATTTTGGCTTTTGTTGCCAATGCTTTTGGTGTTTTAGTCATGAAGTCTTTGCCTACACCTATGTCCTGAATGGTTTTGCCTAGGTTTTCTTCTAGGATTTTATGGTGTTAGGCCTTATGTTCAAATATTTAATCCATCTGGAGTTAATGTTTGTATAAGGTGTAAGGAAGGGGTCCAGTTTCAGCTTCCTGCATATGGCTAGTCAGTTTTCCCAGCACCATTTATTAAACAGGGAATTTTTTCCCCATTGCTTTTATCAGGTTGTCAAAGATCAGATGGTTGTAGATGTGTGGCCTTGTTTCCGAGGCCTCTGTTCTGTTCCATCGGTCTATATCTCTGTTTTGGTACCAGTACCACACTGTTTTGATTACTGTAGCCTTGTAATTATAGTTTGAAGTCAGGTAACATGATGCCTCCAGCTTTGTTCTTTTTGCTTATGATTGTCGTGGCTATGCAGGCTCTCTTTTGGTTCCATATGAAGTTTAAAGTGGTTTTTTCCAGTTCTGTGAAGGTCAATGGTCACTTGATAGGGATAGCATTGAATCTATAAATTACTTTGGGCAGTATGGCCATTTTCACAATATTGATTCTTCCTAACCATGAGCTTGGAAATGGAATGTTGTCCCATCTGCTTGTGTCCTCTCTTATTTCTTTGAGCAGTGGTTTGTAGTTCTCCTTGAAGAGGTCCTTTACATCCTTTGTTGATTGTATTCCTAGGTGTTTTATTCACTTCGTAGCAATTGTGAATGGGAGTTCGTTCTTGATTTGGCTGTCAGTTATTGGTGTATAGGAATGCTTGTGATTCCTGCACACTGATTTTGTATCCTGAGACTTTGCTGAAGTTGCTTATCAGCTTGAGGAGGTTTTGGGCTGAGACAGTGGGGTCTTCTAAATATATGATCATGTCATCTGCAAATAGAGACAATTTGACTTATTCTTTTCCTAATTGAATGCCCTTTATTTCTTTTTCTTGCCTGATTGCTCTGGTTAGAACTTCCAATACTATATAGAATATGAGTGGTGACAGAGGGCATCCTTGTCTAGTGCCAATTTTTAAAGGGAATGCTTCTAGTTTTTGCCCATTCATTATGATATTGGCTATGGGTTTCTTGTAAATAGCTTTCATTATTTTGAGACACGTTCCATCAATACCTAGTTGATTGAGAGTTTTTAGCATAAAGGGCTGTTGAATTTTGTCAAAGGCCTTCTCTGCGTCTATTGAGATAATACTGTGGTTTTTGTCTTTGGTTCTGTTTATGTGGGGGATTACGTTTATAGATTTGGCATGTTGAATCAGCCTTGCATTCCTGGGATGAAGCCTACTTGATCATGATGAATAAGCTTTTTGATGCGCTGTTGGATTCGGTTTGCCAGTATTTTGTTGAAGATTTTTGCATCTATGTTCATCATGGATATTGGTCTGTAGTTTTCTTTTATAATTGTATATCTGCCATATTTTGGTATCAGGATGATGTTGGTCTCATATAAAGACCATAACTCAGTATTTTCTAATCTTTTTTTCGTGATCACACACTGTCCCTTCCTTGTCCCCAAAGGAGCCTTTTTAGATATTTTCCCCATGAAATAAAAATGCTGCAGATATAATACATATCTGTTTGCCTATTTCATATACATCTGTGTTTTGTATACATCTGAGTAACATTTTTTTGCTCCCCAGGAACAAATTTTTAACCCTTTGGGGGTAACACTGCTCCTTTCGACAATGCAACTCATGCTTTTACTACTAACACAGTGTGTAGCTCATAATCAAGCACTGGAGTTTGTTTCATTCTGCATTATTACAAAGAATAATAGTATACAGCATGTGCATATTGATACATGTTGTGAAGTCCTCATCACAATGATCCAATGAGGCAGGGTTGAGGCTGGTTAAGCTTAGGGCCCAAGATCAAACAGTAATTTCAAATTAGGTCCCTCTCTTATCCCGTTTCAGAGCACATCTATCGTGATCTAGTTACAGGTTGTAATATGAAACAAGTCATCCTGTTAAAATGTAAGTCAGGCCATATCGCTCTGTGCCCAAACCCCTGCAATGGCTCTCTGTTTATCTCAGTGAAAGCCAAAGTCCTTATAATGGCCCACATGGCCCTACATAATCCACACTTACTCTCTTATACCTGTTTTTCTTTTCTTGCTGGCCCAGCTCTAGATAACTAAGCCTTGTTTCTATGCTTGAAACCCTCCTGGATACTCCCATATTAGACTCTTTATGTTGGCTATTCTCTCTACCAGAATACACTTTCCC